AATATATATATATATAGTGTGTGTGTGTATGTGTGTGTGTGTGTGTGTGTGTGTGTGTGTGTGTGTTTGTATATAAAGAATAAAGTATAAGGAATAATTAACATTATTGTAAAGATCAAAGATAATTAATTATTTTTATCGTGAGAATATTTCTATTTGCAAATATATTAATAATAATAAACTATATTAATAATAATCTGACTTTTTGTTTAATTAAAAATTGCTTTTACGTTCAGTATTTTATAACAGTTAAGAGAGAAAGATTATTTTAAAATTATATTAAATATTTCTCGTTTTCTAATTTTTATCACACTAACCATAATACAAGCAGAAATATGTCAATTTATGATAAATATATTAAGTATTTATAGAAAAATTCTTAATTTATGGAAAATAACATCTCGAAGAAATAAAATTAAATTTGGTTGTATTCTGCCTTACATGAAATAATTGCAAAATTTTAAGTTTCACAAATTTTTTATAACGTTCACGAGTGATATAAACATTAATTAAATTATTACGTTTTAGGACTTACTGTGTATGTTATAATATTGTACTGATAAAAATACAGTTGATTCGCATTAATTATAATTGTTTAATTACGATTAATTATCAATAATATTTTTAATAACTTTTAATATCACACACACACATACTTCAGCATAATTGCGCGATTGTCGTCTTGTCTCCTCGGAAAAATTTCCGAATGACTACAGTATCTCTTATGCTATTGTATATATGTATGTTGTACATAAAGATGACCTTTATCAAATTTCAAACTGTAGATTTTTATTCTCGACAACGAATCTTGAGACTTATAAAGCGGTATTTATGTTATAATCGAATGTTATATTTAAATACGTCCGTCTTGTCTACTACAGTTTTAAGATGTCATGAATCACAATCAGAGGATTGTATTAGCATCTTAAAAATTATTTACATAAAACGATTTTAAAATGAGAACCAATTCTGAATATCAGCCATAGAGTTTTTGAATTGAAAATAAGAAGCTCTTTATAAAAAAACAAATTCAACAATAATAATAAATATTTAATACATATAAAAAAAGTAACATAATAGGATTACATGCTATACAGTTTATTTAAAAAAAATTTTTATATTTTAATAAAAAATTTAATATATTTCTCAAACACAGATGTCATTAGGTACTCGAATTCGATTCTTTCAAGATTTTTTAACACGCATTTAAGCATCTGATTATTGTATAAATGACTATAATTACCAGATTGAAAAGACAAAATATGATTTCTTTGCAATGTCAGATATTATTCGACATAACATTCAAATAATTGATTGTAATATGAGAATATTAATAGCAAAGTAAAATTTTCTAAAAGGTTTTTGTCACGTATTTGTATATCTATTTAAATTTATTGTTTTTCCTACGTAAATTATTGTGTAATTGTCATTAAAATGAAACAATACCCACGTAGCACATCAGCGCGTGTAAAGCGCTTTCGAAGCGCTGTTTAGATTGCACCTCCCAAAACTGCTGTTAATTATGTACTTTTGTTGCATGCGGAAAACTCGACTAATTTTAAGTCATATTGTAGAGACTGTTATACGACATGAAAATTGAAAAGTGCAGTAAATGTGCTATAAGACTATTTATTCTGCGCTGATTTATTGCGCTTATAATACGCTTTTCATATTGGATTTTAAAAGCGCTTTTAAAGTGCTAAAAAACTGCTAAAGTAATGCACCTGCGTACGCGCTTTTTTAGCGCTTTTTTAAGCGCTACTGTGCTACATGGGTACATATGTCAATTTCTGCCAATAAGATAAAAGCCTAAAATAAAAAGTTAAAGAATGAGAATGTATAAAAATACAGTAAATATTACAAAAGTATATTAAGCTTTATTAGGTATTTAGTTTATAATTTAAAATATTTTTTCTTTTACATTCCTTTAGCTTCAATACTCTTTCTCTTTTTATATTCGACTAATGTCTGTTTACGTTTTTTATATGGTATTTGTACTATGCATTCGTTTGATATACAATATGACTTTTTTCCAAAAGTTGCAGCTGTCGATTACTCATGCTTTATAGAATTACTATTGCAAATGAACTTTATTTTTTTCTCCTGAGAAATTAATGTGTTTAAAGTAGAAAATGTGATAATGTAAGCAAAAGAAACGACATATTATAAATAATATAAAATTAGGAACTTATAGAATATGTTTTTATATAATAATAACTACTGTTTAGATAAAGATAAAATCTTTACTATTTATTTATAACTGAATTTTTAATAGATTGATACACATTATTATTTCATATCGTCATTTTCAAATCAAATATATAAAGATAGTAATAATAATAATAATAATAATAATAATAATAATCATAATAATAATAATAATACGATTAACTGTTTAGGCATTATTATTAGGTAACGACACTATTATATACGTATACATATAATTTGAAAATATATACACATACATATATTATATATGTATATTATACGAATTATTTGTCAACAGATTGTTACATAGATGGTTAATATGTGTCAGAAGATTTTATTAATAGTTTCCCCAGATATATACTATATACATATATTAAAATATTAAAAAGTACTAGAAAATTAAATTAAAATCATTTAAAAAATATTTACAAGATATTAGTAATAGATAAAAATTTATATATAAGGATAAATGTGTTTTGCATTACACTTCATCTTTCTAATTGATCAATGATCACTTTAAGCGAAGTCTTCTTCTCTGTAATGAAACTTCTTAGAAACTTGTACGATTTGGTCAAGATATTCCGTTCGCTCTTCTATTAGTATTTGAATTACAGAAAAAGTGTCTAAATCTTCAATGACATTATTTTCTAAGAACTTTTGTACCTGAAATAGATTAGTTCAATATGATGATTAAATAATAATTAATTTCTATACAACATAATTTTTAGTTTAATATAATGTTAAGATGAATATACGTATATGGTATAAATGAATAATATATTTAACTATTTAAATGCGAAAATGGGCATTATTTTTTATACATATATATTTATATAACATAAAAAATTTTCTTTTATTTGGAAAGCCCTTTTCAAGAGAATTATAAAATTATTAATTCATGATAGGATGGTTTTCTTGAATCTTTTTTAGGTTATTGTGGATTAGATCATCAGTCTAATATTTTATTAATTCGTAAATTAAATATGCAAGTTTAATTCGCATTATTTTAAAGCATCTATTTTATATTTGATTTTATAATATGATTTTCCTCAAAATTACAAAAATACAGTTAAAATATGTAAACGTATATTAAGCAATTATTAATCTTACAGTTATATAAAGTTGAATTAATTCAATCATAATTCCATTTGAGAAATAATTTTTATTTAATACACAAGACAGAAAATTCTAGTAATATTGCAACAACATTTGCATGTTCTAACAATATTACAGTTAGATTATTGCAATGTTGCTATATTCTGTGTTGCGTGAATTATAAAGCGCTATAGAAAAGTCAATAAATAAGTATCTAAAGCGTAAAATTTACCTCGTTAATTTCTTCGTTAGAATAAATATTTTTAAGAATAAGTTCTATCATTGCCGTCATAGTAAGTAACCTATATAATATATATAATATAGTATATAATATAAATACAAAATAGTATATACAGAACTAATAAATTTTTTAAGTTACATAAAGAAAATAACATATAATAGTATATATTTATGAAGAGTAAATATTATTACCTGGGTTTTATAATCTTAAAATTTTTTAATACATAGTCACGGATTGTGTCGTTGTGCGCATGCTTCTTAACAATGTGCTCGAAAGCAAGAGAATGCTCATAATCGTGAAATAATGAAGTATTCAATGCTAAAATATTTAAATAATTGATGATAATATCAGGATCTTCAGCGCAACTCAAACTTTCTAATATTTGTTTTTCAGCTTGCTCCCCTTTTAGATCATTATTTAAGTATAATTCCAACATTTTATCCCAAGTAGTTCTATTGGCTGCCATCATACCAGTACAGTACATAAATTCTTCCTCATCTGAAATTCTAAAATAATACATATCTATAATCAAGAACAGATTATATTTTCATATGTATACTTTCTATTTTAATAATTGTAAATTTTTACGTATACATATTATTAAGTAATCTTATTATTATATCATTATGTTATTAGAATAAGAACGGAGATTCAAGAGAATGAGCTCGGCGATTTGAAGAAATGAAGAGTTTCAGTTACAATATATAATATGAATATATCAATATACATTCGCATGTGTGCACGCGCGCGAACACACACACATAAATATGATTTACGAGACAATCATGAACGTAAAAAATTTACTTGTGAGTTTTAGGATCCGCAAGATATTCGCTTAATTTAAGTGCGGTCATTTTCTTGCATTCTTCGTGATGAAGAGCACATGCCCATTTTAAAGCATTTAGCCTTGTTAGTACTGTGACATCATCATCATTAGGATTGTTTACGTATCCTACGTAATAAAGAAGTTTGTCCAAGAGTTGCATTAAACGTATCTAGAAATTATAAATTAATGTATATATATATTTTATATTGATTCATTGTGATGCTTGTGAAAATATACGTAATCTATGTATATATAGTATAAAAATATACAATAAATGTGTGTGTGTGTGTGTGTGTGTGTGTGTGTGTGTGTGTGTGTGTGTGTGGTAATGTGTGTGCTTTATCATAATACATTCAATAATTGAGAAGCAAATTTTCAAAGGGCGTTTTTTTAGCCAAAATTTATATATATAGATAATTTGTAGAAAACAAAAAGAAAGAAACTACACACTTTAGTTCACTCCGGAGTGTAAACTCAAATTGGACAGATCTGTTTGTACTCTTTATTTTATAATTATATACAGAATGCTTTTTATATTTGTTGTTCTCTTTATATATATATTACACGTTTATATTTTTTTAATGCTATAAACTTTTGCTATAATATGAAAAAATACAGAAAATCATAGTTTTAACATATTACATGCAAATAATTTATATGTAATATATATACTTTTATACTTTTATAAAGTGTTTATACATTCGCAAATTTTATGGGAATATGTAGCTAATTTGTGTAAATTAAGATATCCATATATTACAACATTACGTAACTTAAATTGTAAAATCTTACCTTAATATGAGAGAACTCCTGCAGTAAAATAATATTTGGCATAAGTTCTATCATTTGAAACAATGATTGCCATACCGCATACTCTCTCTCTTGACTGAGATAATTTATCAAATGAACGAATAAATATCCATTTATTCGATCAGCAAATATCATTGCAAGCGAATCAAAGATGATTTGAGCACGATTAAGAACATGTATATTCGTATATTCGTTACTATTTAAATAATGTGCAAGTTTTTGCCAATTCTTGGTATCGTAACTAACACGATAATACCCTGTTACATTATTTATTATATATATTATTAAATCCTTTTTAACTGAATTTATCAAGATATATTTTTACATATTCATATTTTGTCTTTTCTTATTGTAACACGCAAATTTTGTATGTACTAATAAATAATAAACATAAAGTCACAGATTAAAAATTATTTTGCATAATTAATATTTAGCAAAATTTAGAAGATGGAATCAAATTTCCTTTAAGTGCTTGCTGTGGATTTTCCGAGTTAACCGCGGAACAGGGGCGGAAATTGGAAAATTTCTTAGAGCATAGGCTATCGAATGCGGTTGCTAATTCCGGTGTCACGCTCTTGTGCCTTTTCCTGCTCATTCCCCCACTCCCAGCGCTGATTCTTTTTCAACAGTCGAGTTAACGGCTCACTCGCGGTGGCAAACTGTGGGATAAATCTACGATACCAGGAAGACATCCTTTAAACTTAGATTTTTTACCAAATATTAATTAATCCAAAATAATTTTTATACTGTTTTATAAAAATATGTATAAATGCCCATTAAATGATGTAAAAACGTTTTTGATAATAAAACAAATAGAACAAATAAAAAAAGTGTGAGTTACCAGTTTGTTGTAAATTGACAATAATCCAATCATTTGGATTAATTGTAAAGCTTATATTATTTTGATCTGATCGTAACCAATAACGAGGTACAGTATTGGAAAAATCCGGATTGGACTGCGTAGCGAAAGTTATAGGAATCCACCATTTAGTAGCTTGATCAGTCTCACTATGATGCCGGACACATGATTGTGATATTGTCACTTCGCCAGTTTCGTAATTTCTTGTCACATATACAAAAGGATAACGCTCTTGATTCATCCAAGTATCCATCACTTCTTTTATTCTGTAATCTTCGTGCGGGATATTAGATTCATTCAGAGCACTTTGCATAGCGCTCCATAAATCATCTGGTGTAGCTGTGCTAAATTGACTAAATTTGAAAAATGATAATTGTCAGTGATTATAGTTATATATCGGAAAATATACATTAACTATTAAAGGGTCTGTACAAATATTAATGCATAATTGAATATACATAGATATACATATATAAAGAGAAATTTAAAATATAACTCGAAACTAATTTAAATTTAATTATAATGAACTAAGAAGTAAAAATACGTATAATTGAATAGTAATATGATATTAAGTATTTAAAAATTCATATTTCTGTCATTACATTTTTCAGTATGCAAGTATATAAATAATTATTTTTATGTATTTTTAGACTACATTGTACATACTTACTACTTATTCAAATACGTAATGAGACCCTTTTTAAATACCTCATCAGTAATTGTATTCTGTAACATGCGCAATAAAACTGGCGCTGCGATAAATATACACAAAATGTTAATTAATAATACATTTAAAGTATATATAAAATTAATATCTGCTATATGTAAATATTTGTACAAAAGAAGAATTATCTATTAGCTTCTTTATTTTATCTTTTATTTTGTGTTACCTACACATTAAAAAATCCATGAATAATAATTTTATTTTATTTATATAATCTTACCTTTCTTATAAACTTCATCAGAAAATATCGACTCCGCTTTGAGAATATTGCCAAGTTTTAATGTGACAGAATTTAGTAAGCTTATATCTTTAAGAAAACATTGCTGTATTGTATAAATCGCAAGAAAATCTTTCATCCGCCAATCTTTGAAAATCTGAAACAAATATTTTGCTATGACTAAATATTAAATATTCAAAGAGAAGTTTGCATTAGAAATACAAAATTAGTTTGTTTGCCATTTCTACGACAATGTTATTTTATATTTCATTATACCTAATTGTATTAACACTTTCAGGTCGAATTTTTTTCAAGAAAAGTATACCTAATTAAATTATTTTGAAAAGCTTTTGAAAATTACTTATAATATGAAGAAATAAAAGTAAGTTGTGAAATCTAAAATGTTAGTTTTATTAATTTATTAAACGCTAAATATAATAATGGATGCAGAAAATAAAATATCTTTGAATTATAATAAAATTGTTACCACTAGTATTCTTAGAATTCTTGATGAAAAAATTAAAATAATAGATCTCTTCAACAATTATGAAACAAATAGGAAAAATGAACGCTGTTAATTTCTAATAAGAATTTTTACTAAAAATATTATGTAATTATTCCAAAAAAACGTATACTTTTTTATAATTCTGTTAGAGCACATACTTTTTTTTATTCAGTTTCGAAAATATAGTGTTTATTTGCATTTAATTGGCATTATTTTAATCTTATAAAAAAGTACTTTAACATGCTTTTTTAATTTAATAGCAACTTAGAATTAATAATATTGAACAACCTCATTTATTATGTATGTTTCGAAGAACGCAGCAAGTCCTTCGCTTAACCACAGATAGGACCACCAAGATGGAGTGACCAAATTGCCAAACCATTGATGTGCAAGTTCATGTGCTACTATCAACGCTGCTTGTGTTTTCTGATATACTGAATCGCTATTATCATCGTAGGTAATTTCTGATTCACTAAAAGACACAATATTACATAATATATTTATGTAAAATATTCCTGAATATGCAGTCGAATGTTGTCCAAGTTATTTTATTATGTTATTCATAATAATCATACGCAATAAATGAGATGTTTTATCTTTTCGTATACAAAATGTAACATATTGGTACGTAAAATATTTATGGGAGTGCGAAAAAGAGGAAATGTAAATCCAGTAAATCTTAAACACGTTAACTATTTAAGATAATCTAATGAAAACATGTATTTTATCGATATTCGTGGGATAAGTTTATGTTTTAAATTTCTAAATTTTATATGCTAAACGTAATATTGACTAGCGCTCTATAACTTAATTAACTTTTTTTAAATTGTAAATATTACTGGTAAGTGATGAGTCCCCAATTTTCCATGCCACCAACTAAAAAATTCGGTATCAAGACGTGGTCCATTTTCGGTACCTTCAGGGAACTATTGGTATATTGAATTAAGAACTCTATGATCTTTTCAGCAATACTGTGTGCGAATTTTATTTTCGATGTCAAAGACGACTTGCACCACATATTGATAGTTTTGTTTGCGTTTGAAACGCTAACGAAATCGAACATCACAATCGCCACAATATAAGTAGACATTATAGGAGTGATGTCAAAATGTGTCCGTATCATACCATCTTGTTCCAGAAATTGCTCTCGTATTGGCATATTCGATAATACACCATATTTTTTATCATGCTTTACAGAGATATTGAAGGTAGCTTTTAACGCTGGCTCATCCCAACATGGAAACACTCGTTTGGCGTTATTTGGCTCAAAATACGTTGTGGCTAACCATTTGCTATTTGATAAATATACTAAATGATAGCAAATTTTTTACTCCATGTCAATTATCATAAGAATTTAATAACCTCAATTACTGTTTTTTATTATTTTTACTCTCTTTAATACAAATTTTGTTAAAAGTAAAAATTGAAATGCTTTATAATATTATATGCCGTTTTATTTGAAATTAAAGTTGCCTTTTTAAAGTAGTATTACAATATGTATATATTTTATATATGTATATACAAATTATATGAGACTATGCAACAGCGGTCTAAGCTGAATCATTCGGTTTGAAATTTAGTAGTCCAATAAGAATTGATATTATATACAAATTATATTTCTACAGAAGAGCTTCTTAAGTGTGGCAATAATGATACATACAAATAAAGGTGTAATAACAAAAAATTTATTTTAGTTGCAATTATTCTTTTATATTTCAACATTTACTTACGTAACGTTTTCTTTATTAATTGGAAATTTCAGAAAACCCCCTTGGTTAGATATAGGTTCAAGTAGATGCCCAGCAAATTTCATGTTTAAAACGTAAAAACCAGGTGATAATTCAACGTCGAAATTGAGTGTCAAAATGTTCGTTACATTGTTCTGAATATGTGTCATCGGTTTATAAACTGTATCTTTGTCATTAATCAACGTTGTAGCTGTTTCGTTTATTTCTAAATCTCTCGAATGTAAGTTTATTTTTAACGATGCATAACGAATCTCAATATTGGTATTGGATTCACCATAAAAAGTAAAGTTGCCTTCTTCAAGATACGGTGTTAGATTAATGTTATAATGAATTGGTATCGTGTTGTTGGGTAAACGATCGATAATTTCTACATTATTATTATCGATGCAAAACACTGTTCTTGTGACCAATATTAAGCCAATATTTAATAACAATTTTGGAAATTCCATGTCAATTCTTTCTTTTTACTTATAATCTATTTACAATTATTCAATATATATATATATTGTATATATAAAACTCTTATTTAAAGAACGAAATATTTAAATCGATATTTTGATTATTCTACCATTTTGATATATATGTTTTTGTCTAATATATTTAATGTTTATTAAAAATTCGTTAAGAAAGAAAATTTTCTCAAGAATTATTAGATACCATTTTATAGTTGTTATTTTTCTCAGTTTTTAGATAAATCCAAAAGTAAAAGTAAAAAATAAATTGAAAATAAGGACAACTTTTTTTGTCATTGGATTGTTTCTATCTAATTATCAACAATAATAATATAATTTCTTGTTTAATTAAATATATATTTTATTAATCTCTGTATGTGTAAAGGTTATTTAGAAATTATATTAAATATCCCTTGTTTTTTTTTCTTAACTTTCATTATTAGTTGTAATAATACGACGATATATTTAAAAAAAGCTTTAATTATAAAAATTCACAATTAATAAGATAAAAACATGAAGAAATAGATTTAAATTTAGTCGTATTTTGTGTTTTAAAATTATTTTACGTTTTATATAGATGAAAGTCACAGATACCGACATATACCACTTTTAGAAAAGTTAAGAAAAAATAGAACTTCAAAAACACAAGTAACTAATAAATAAAACTGCTTTAGGAAACTACAAGCATTTAAAAATATGTAATATTATTTATAATATATAGTCACTATTATTTAAATTACACAATTTGTAAAAGAAAATCATAAGAATTGCATTTTCGTATTCATAGAATTCGTTTTTAGTTGATTTGGTATAGAAACAAGTCACAAATATATGTATTATACGTTTATAGTTCTTTAATTAGCTAAACAGATCATGTTTTTATTAGTACTAATAAAATATGCAATAGTTAATTTCTGAGAAATAAAGAGGTGTCGCTCTACGAGATCTATAATGTCAGTATCGGCAGTTCCCCTCTATTTTTTTTTATATAATACCCATTAAATTATTGGTTTTAACAACTTACGTTATATATTATACCTTCGTGCAGATGCAATTGATTTATAATAACTATAGTTGATTAATTATAGTTTTTAATCCTTTAATATAAAAAACATATTAGCGTATTATGATGTCGTCTTGCCATATGAAAAGATTCCCGTATAAATACAATGTTTCTGATGTTTATTTGTATGTCAATATATCGTAAGGTTAATATAAAAGATAATGTTTACCAAATTTTTTACTCGAATTTTTTGTTCTCGATAACAAATTTTGAGACTTACAGAGTTATCGGATTATATAATAAATAATTAAAAGTAAGCTTTCCATAGAGAAACTGTATAATAATTTTTCTCAGAAACTTAAAAAAAAAATACATATATAACTGTTTACAATAATCAATAATGTATCTACTATATAGGCATTATTAATAAAATTTAGGTTTTAAAATAGATTTAATAAAATTTATAGGAAAATAAGGAAATATTTCCAAGTTTTATAAAAATAGAACAAAGAGGTTTATAGAGTGTCAAATGTTTCAGAAAATATTTTTACTGTATTTTCATTTAAATATATCATTTTTTATTAAATTATTTTTTCTAATGTTTAGAAACGGAAAAAAATACATAGCATACACACACATATATTGCTTTCAAATTTATTAAATATATTCAATAAATGCATCTTATAAAATATTACAATCGTATAAAGACAGTTTATGTCAATTCTTCAAAAAATATCAATTGCATACATATATCACAAGAGTGTCCAAACATTGACATTATCTTCTTCAGTGAAGAATTGAGAAGGTTGGTCACACCAAGACTATATGTTATAAAATCTTTTAGATATTACAACCTGATAAAACATTTTTCATGTAGAACACATAAATATTTACATCTTATATAAAATGTTCACAAATTATTTTGTATCTTTTGTGAAAAGACATGAAATATATATACACTTTCATTAGAATTTAAAGTAAGTTAGACTAAACATTTCCTGTATGATATTTTAACTCTTTTTATCGTTTTTTAATAATTATAAAATGTAGCAATGTATATTACTTTTATTATAGTAATTAAATTATAAACGAATGTAAAATGCATAGTAAAAGCGTAAAGAAAAGAAATTGTATCAGACTGTGAAGATTTTGTAGAATTACCTATAGTTTGCCTCATGTTATAAAATATTTATATGTAAACTACGTAAGTATATTAGAAAATACACACAACGGAAGAAAATTAATAAACTATATAAAAAAAATTAATGAACAAAATTTGCGCTCTACAAAAACATATAAGTACACATTGGAATTAAGACAAATCTTTATCGATTTCATTAGCAACGTATACAAAACATGGCCTATGGTACATCAACTGAAATAAGGAGCAGAATCAATTTTATTATAGATTAATTTGGCATACAAGCAGAATATCGACCATGTAACTTGTTTTTCTAGAATAGAAATGTGTGTGATAATTAAAAATCGTTATGTACGTATGTACATATACACACATATGCGTACAAAAACTTTCATTTTTCACGTTTCCACTCTAGGAAAAAGGTATGATCGATACCCAGACATCAGAAATATACTATGATTATAAAATACTAAATATTATTATAATATAGTAAGACTTATGATACAATAGAAATTCTGAAATATATTACTAATGCGTGATGAAGCTATAGTAATATATATCAATTGTACCAATCAAGTCAATATAAATAAGACTACTCCTATACATTTTGCAATTTTCCAAAGAAATGTTCTTTTCTCTTGTATAATTTCTATTCGTATTATATATAAATAAGAAACAAAATGTGATTAAAATAAGAAATAAAAAATCATCGAAAGAATTTTCTCATAAATTTATATTTAATAAAGAGTAAAATAAAGAAATGAGATCAAATTTCTGGTACATAATCGTATAAATTAAATATAAAACAATCGTATATATCAAAAAGTTAAATACATATTAAATACATATTACATATAAAAAATATATATATAATAATATACTATATAATGTAATTATAATTTTTTATATTTTGTAAGAAAAAGCAATGCAAAATTTTTTTTTAAATATTTTTCAACTATTTTTTTCCATGTATTATATATTACATATTGTATATGAATAGAAATTATACAATAGAAAGGGGAGCAGTCAATTACATGTATACATATTTATATACACTTTTATATAAAATTTTTACCAGAAATGTGTAAAAAAAACTTATACATTATCTACGTTATGCTCTTTTAAAAATTTTCGAACTTATATGTCTTATCTTAATTTTGACAATTCAAAATAGTTAACACACGTATTAAATATAATACAAAAAACAATACAAAATTTGAAGTTACACGTGCTATCAAATGCAATTTTGTACATTTTACATAAAGCATTAATAATTTTACCTATTTTATTTATCTTCTAAAACTCGTCTGTATATTTATAATGAATTGATTAATGCATCAGATTGCACATTTTGTTATGTTTAATTTATTAAATTAATAAAATTTTATATCATGATTATTATTATTATTATTATACCGCTTTGTTATATTAATTAGCATTAACTTCTAAAAATGTTTTTAAATAAAATTTTTATCTATAATAACAGGCACAATTCGTAATATTAAAATAAATTAACATACTTGTTATACAAGTCTCTTTTTCTCTTATTAATCTCATTTATTATACTTTAGTATTATATATTAAATATTATAGCTGCATAAAATATATGGAATGTATATAATCTAATTTTATGCTGTTATATTAATAATTTCCTACGACATGTTTACACTAAGATCTCCTGTTACATAGAATACAATTTTCTTCTACTAAAATATTCAATTACTGTGAGCTAGTTTCATTTTTTATAAAAAAAAAACATCTTTTCTTCATTGGCAAACACAGGTACATATAGAATCTTAAATTATAAATAATTAAAAATTTTATATAGAAGATTTTAATATATCTCGAAATATTTGCATCTTCTTTACAAATATAATTCTTTGTATAGATGTTACCATAGATGTTATTTGTTTCCTTATAATTATATCAAAAAATTTTAAATAACTAATTCATATTACTAATAACAAGTTATAATTAAATATTGTTAGATAATTAAATATGTTAAACTTTGAAGATGCAATACTTAAGTAATAATGCCTATATTACATTTAACAAGATAAATTATATTTAAAAAACAACAAATAGTTATAAATTATTTATTTACTTTTAGGAAGTTAATATATTATTTTTAAAATTTTTTAATAATTTAGAATTTTGGTATAAATTTTAGAGAATCCTTGATGTTTTTAAAAAGTAATTATAATTAATATTTAATACAATAAAAACAAAACAAATCAATTTGATAAATATCAAATAAAAATAATATATAAATATATAATCTTTATTATATTATAATACTTATTATTATGTTATTTGAGGTATTAAGAATTATTGCATCTAAAGTAAATATCCTTATATTTTAAATTATATTTAAGTCATTTGTCGGTGAAAATTCGATCAGCCTTGTCATGAGGCAATATAAAATACGCAAATAGACAGAAATTTAAATACATTTATACGATATACATATATCAAAATGATTAAAAGGTCCACTTAGCCTTTTCTTTGTTCATCGTAATATAAAATTCGTATATGTGTATTGAAATAAAACATAAGAATTATCTTTTGCATACCCTGTTTGTATTGTAAAACAAATAATAATTTTTATTATTAAAATTTGAGCTGAATTGCAATGAATTTTCAAAAACATTTATTTGTCAAAGTGCAAACTTATATCCACAACGCAGTTGGCATCATACCTTCTACTGTCCCAGCAGCAGGTTTTAAATCTTCATTGCATAAGAACCTTAGTGGCAAGTCGACCAAGTGCCCCTAAAAAAAGTACACATTTAGTATGCTCAAACAATAAATCTAAGCATTTAAAACACTTGATATTTACCTTTATACTCTCCACTATTTCTTGTGCTAATAATGGATCAGATATGGAGAGAGATATTTTTTCTTGATATTGTTTCAATATAGCAAAATTGACTACTTTATCTGTAGGAATACAGTGAAATACTTCTTCATATAACTCTGTATTTCGTTTGCTTCTAGCGCACCATATGTCCTTGTAGAATGATTTTATAATGATGTCATCGATATTAATGTCTTCTTTAGTATTCAATAGTCCTAGATGTTCGCGGAATAATTGTTTTCTCAAAGAAGAAGCAAATTTGCCACAAGGAAAAGGTATACTATTCATGCGTCCATCCTCAAATTCCTGGTCCTGTTTTGCAAATATTATAGCTTTGATTGATTTAAGTTGATAAAAAAAAACACAGAATTATGATAAAATTAGTTCATAAAACTTGTTTTACAAATTAATATAAAACAATACAATACACATAAAACATCAAATTTAACGTAATACAAATTATAAATTTTAACGTTCTTGAAAAAAATTGTGTTTATGTATGTATAAAATAAGATAAACTTATTCCACGTCTCATTAATTATTATACCGGTAATCTAAAGGCTTAGAACGCTCGCATGAAATGCCAGAGATCTAGATTCAACTCTCGGCTGAGGTAATATTTTTCGCAATATAAATTAATTATTTACAGATTTTTAATATGTCATTCATAGATTTTAATATATCATTTAACATTATTAAGATCCAAGATGCTATAAGCATTAAAATTGTTAGTCAATTTAACTCGTGATAGTACTGTGGTAGTTTATTAGTTTGCGTATAAGTCTGAAAAAATTTCAGCCTGCATTTTTAAGAATCTACATACGTCGTATATAAATTCACATAAAATTATATATTAGAAGCATCTAAAATTCAGCTTGACCGTTACATGTTCTCATCGATACTTATTAGTTTAAACTCTCACGGTCCAATAAGATTTGATATGTTTATTTAAAGTTATTGATAAATTTAAAATGTAGATGTTATATATTAAAATCCATTTATATTGAAGATATTAGACATACTTATAACTTACACAATATATATGATATAATAAATATACTCACATGAATTATTACGGCTATTTCGCTATCCCTTGTAGCAATCATACTTCTATCATTTATATTAGCTGACCCACAGATTACTGTGTTGTCATCTACTATCATTAGCTTACTATGAACATAGATAAGCTCCGTTACCATCGTACCATTTAACATAGAATGAGTTCTCAAACCATGAAATGTGATATACTCGCTGGGATCTTTTACACCTGCCTCCAATAATTGATTTAGAATAGCATCTTTTCCCCTGTTATTTCGCCAAAGAAAGAAATTATTATAACAAGAAAGAAATTTATGCGTGCCGCTTTTCTCTCAATTTATACTTAGTTGAATGACGCAATACCTTGATATAGAATTATAATTCCAATGAGTTATCGCTCGCAATGCCGTGCCACTTGGTCCTCCGACTTCTCCTTCGAAACCCGGCAACAACGGCATTACGACAAATACCCTAAACACCGCGCCTTCTCTGTGCGCTCTTAGGATTCTTTTGAATAATGTTTCACCAATTTGATTCTTCACACCACCTTTGTCCATGGAGGCAAGTGTTATAAAAAATTGATTTTCTATATATATATACCTACACATTTATTCAAGTTAGCAAAATGTTAGATAGAATTATAAAATATATGTGCAAAATCTTACCTTTCCGCTTCACTAATAGCCTGGATGTAAGCTTCTTGTATGCTTCGCTCTACAGTTTCTGGATCGAGAAAGCCAGCAGACCAAGAACTCACCGAACGCAGTACTTGACACTTGACATTATGCTTATTTGCCTCTTTAATGAACGGAGCATAGCTCTTACAGTCTTCGTATGATTTCGGTAATAAGTAAGGATAACACAAATTTAGATTTGCTTTTTCTAGCTACAACAAGTATTTATCAGTGTTCAGCGTCCTGCTTGAGTGTTTGAACTTGAAGTATATATCAAGAATGTTATGTATACCTTGACGGCATTCCAACGCTGTATAAAATGCCTAGCTATATCTCTAGCGGCAGCATTTTGCACTAAAACTCCTATGTCGTGCCAGGGCATCCTAGGAGTAGTAGTTCTATCTACCAAATCCTGATAGGGCCTCTCAAGATCGTTAAAATCTTTGACAATAAAATTTGTGTAGTCTTTACCTAGCCACAATTTTGTTGTGGGTTGTAAACTGCAGTTATAATCCACTGTATCTTCAGATACCGATAAATCAAGTTTGCTAAATTAGAGAAAAATTATATTATTTCGTTAAAGAATAAATATAAAGTAATGACGATAATAAACAAGAACATTATTCGTACTTTTCTATTTTTTCATCGGTATCCGCTTCATGAGAAGTATATACCATGTTGATTAATTCCTGTCTTTTCACTTTCACAGTGTTCTTCATTTTATCGACAGTTGTTTTGGCGACATCGAACAGATTCTTCCTTTGCATTTCAGGTGTATTACACTTAACTGCGTCTCCTTTTTCTTGCAGCATAAAAAGTGAATTATCCGTTGATAATGTTGATAACATTAAATCCTTTTGTGTTTTTTCGTCCATTATCGGTCTTCAAACATAAAACGTATTTATGTTTTTAATTTTAGTCCATATTTAATATTAATTAAATACTACTTACAATAAAGGCATGGATCTCGTGGTAGCCATAGCGATAGTATTCGTTGCTATTGCTAATGATAATAAAACATGTGTTTTTGTACAGCTCAATACCTTTTTACTGCTAGTATTAGTTAATTTATCTCTTGAGGGAATGTAAATACTCGATTGATGAATAGATTCTACAATTAACACATTATTAGTTGATAAAACAAATAAATACTAAAAAAATCTACTTGACACTTACCTAAATCTGTTAATTTGTGTTCATTGTTATCCCATCTGCCATAACATAAATCAATACCACCGAGAAATGCTAGAGACTGATCAATAACTACAATCTTTTCATGATGAGCCCAAAGAAACACACCTGCCCTTGCATGATCTGGATGTCTCAATATTTTTATATTTTCTGGACATTGTTCTACAAGTCTCTGTTTGCTGTAGTAACTATTTATGCCTAAAGCGACTTCAATTTCTTTGTATATTAATATGAATATTTTAACACCTTGAATCTGTATAGAAAATATTTATAAGGCATTCTTGCTATACATCAAATAATCTTGAATAACAACTTCTTGTTACTACTAATCAATATATTTAATTTAAATCTGTAACATTTGTGTTTTAATAAAAATATTAAACTATATAACATCATGACTATACTCACTGCTTTCCTTTGTAAAATTTTATCCAACCGCCAATAATCTCCACTAGACATTGGTCTTTTCATGTGAATTTCTGGTGAAAGCCACCAATCTGCAATAAAAATTTCTTCCTTGGCATTTTCCAATGCATCAGCCACAGCAGACATATAATCAGCTCCATCCACGAACCAAGTTGCAAATATAGGTGAACGATATGGAGCAAATGAGTTATGTGGATTTGTTTGTATAAAATCTTTGCCTGCACCTCAAAATTTGATCAATTGGATACAAAATAGAGACATATACATTATATTTTCTGCGAGAAATCTTACCTTCTTTATTACTAACTTCCTGTATAAATTCCATCCATTCCTTAGCTTTTCGTTTTGTCCAACACTTGATAACTATATGTCTACTGAGATTAGTAATTTGCATGCCGCTTCGTGAACCTGTAGTATATACTCCAAGACTGATCCCAAAGCCATTATCCATCAAGATAACCGATTTTATTCTTCCATTTTGAGGATTAAGATATGCAACAAAGGTTTCTTTAACAACAAGATGCCTCTTCTGCCACTTGCCACAAAGAGAGGTGCAAAGATAATTGCACTTGATACAAAGTCCACATTCAAACAAACCAAGGAAATTACATCTCGTTTTAGCACCTGATCCCGTTCGTTTCAAAATTGTACCTTCCTTTCCTTTCATTCCTAAGTCAGCCACGAAAGACAAATGTGAAATATCCAAAAAATTGATCTGTAAATAAATGATGATAGTATACTTTTTCAAATCAATTAAGTTAATTATTAGTAAAAATTTACTTACAGTTTCAGAATGACGTCTGTAAATTTCTATGTTAAGTAAGTTACTTAAATAATCCTCTAATTCCTTTCTTCTATGATTTAATTGCTCATAAGGTACTAGAATGTCGGGTTTATTAGGAAATCTATAAAGGTAATTCTGAGATTATATTTTTTTAATTTTCTTATTGTTAATACAGTTAATATAGATCATAATGATAATTTTTATACCTTGGTAAAGCATTTCTTCTGCCCTTTTTCTCATCTGCAGTTCTAAAACTTCTCAGACTGTTCCTCCTCTCCTTATGGCTTTTTGTAGGAAAAGGTATGTTTAAACTAGCACGATATATTTTCAATTGATTGTGCAGGTATTGAATATGTTTGTATCGCTTTTTAATAGTCCAAATAAAAGGTCCATGTCTAAATTCTATGGTATACAGATTTGGATTCAAAGGATGCGTGGTCACACTACGTTCGTTATCTATGATTTTTACGTGCACTTCTTTACCAGGAATAAATACGTTGCGAGTTTGACTTGTGAATTTTTTTGATGTATTGTATATAACGGTAAAAGGAATTACACCAGGAGTTTCTACCAATATAAGAGAAAAAAACATAATATAAGATTGAAAACCATAAACCTGTCCTTTTTAGCTAAATTTCTTACACAGTTCATCTTTTCTCTTTCTTTTCACATTGGAGAGAAGAAGAGAAGAGATAAACTATACAAGACGTTTAGCTGAAAGGAAAAGAATTATAAGGGTAAATAATAGAAAAAAAAAGTAAATAAATTATAAGAGTACATAATTATTAATTATATTTATATACATAAAACCATTGTCAACTAGGAAAAGAGAAAAACAATATTAAGGACAAAACCAAACAAAGGACTATCAGGAAATATGTAAGACACATTACGTAGAAATTCATACCTCTATTATCTGTGCATTCTATGTCTTCCTTACGAATTCGTATTGTCTCGCCATTTTCGTCAACTGTTATTTCTAATGAATCAGGTACTCCCAAAGCATCATCATATTCAGAATCTTGTGACATTGTACGGCTTATCCCTTGAGAAGCAATCTCAACTAATTCGGTAGACATCTTTGGCAAAATTTTTGTAAACTTTTTATATTTTACGATGCAATTAAATGTAAACACACCTATAACCCATTCGTTAAAGACACACAGTGGGTAACGTAAAAGTAATCTTCATTATCAAGTCACCAGAGCAAGATAGAAGAAATTGAAAATAGCTTTGTTCAATTGAAGATTAATATATAAAAAAAAAAGATAGTAAATATCTTAAGTACATTGATAAAATAATGGATATCAGTCATATTGTAAAAATATCAGATAAGAGAAAATAAACCAAAAATAAACAAAACAATCTTCTTCCTTTCTTCGAAGTTACTTGCGCAACGTTTATTTCGAAAAAAAGCCACGTACGCATACGCGATAATGCATGCTTGTTATCGTGTTTTCTAATAATAAAAAGAGTATTTACCTCGTTTTATGCAAGGCACAATTCTAGCCTAAAAATGTCTGGCCTATCCAACATCATCGACCTGTATCTCTCTCAGGTATTCGCGCCAACTCGCTAAACTCTCGCAACAATGCATCAATGCATTGTTAACGTAACAACTGTCGCCGTCTTCAGAATGTCGCGCGACTCAAGCGACGATCATCGGTGATCGCTGTTGGCTGAATACGCCAATTATGTTGCATTACGCGATGATCCGGCACGGCGCAACACGCGTTTAGTCATCGTCGTGATGACCGCATGGCCAGCTGTTCCAGCTGTTCCAACCACGTATACCAAGTCCGTATACCGCAGTATACTGTCATCGAGTGACGTTACGCTATACGCTCTCTAACTGCGTTTCTCAAGACCCTCACACCAGGGACTCGGTCCGAAAGAATTAATATTTTCTTTATGATTATGGTATAAAAAATGGAGTAACTATTCCGGTTTCGGTTTTTTAACCAATGAAGAAAACAGGAACCATTTATAACGAGTCTTTTCAGTTTATGATACAATAATATTTTACATTTTCTATTAACTTTTTTATATACTGTTTTATTTCTATTTTATCTATGCATATGTAAGAAGAAGAAAAGATGTTTTAAATAAAAACCACTTAATTGAGAATATATATATATATACAGACATTTTATATTTTATTTTGCATATATTGATCGACATAGAATATAAAATATAATATTTCGTAAACTCATTTATTTTTTAATTATTTTTGCACAAAGTAATGAAATTAATCAGTTGCTTTTCAAAAATTATATAATTTTTTTATTAAAATAAAAATATAATTTTAAAATAATAATAATAAAATTTTATAAAGAAAATAATATCTATATAAAAAGGTAAAAATATTATAATTATAACAATTATAATAATAATTATAGATTAAAAACCAGAAAAAAAGAAAAGACCATAACATAAAAATAGTCGGTGCGGCGGTTATGATTCCAATATATAAACTTTGACACGACATACGATTTGCAATATTGATTCAACTATAAAGAAGTTACGGATCACTTATCCGATTTGGTTTCTGTTCCTGTTTCACACCTTACGTACACGAGTTGATAAAACGAATGCATGCTATAGCTATCTTTTTATTCACAAATCTTTAACTGTATAAACAAAGGATTTTATTTACCTTATAATAATAAAATCAAGTAAATAAGACATTTTACAATTCAAAAACAAATTGGAGAGAATAAAGAACAATAGGAGTCAGGCGCAGAAGACGTCGCGCAATTAAAAACATCACTATAATAAGTGACAAAAACCATTTATTAGAATAATGCTCTTTTATTATAATAAAATATTGCCCTTTATTCTCTCCAATTTGTTTTTTATTTTATTTACATTATACATCGATATAATTATTAGATCACTTAAATAATAATTTATCAATGATAAATATTTATTATAGATTATTTAAATAGTACAATCCTTTAAATAAAATGTCCTTTCGGGTGTTGACTCATACTCTGGATCAACAAAAAAAAGTGCATTCGACTCACGATATACACCATTTTTTCGAAAAAATAGTAATTCTTTTTACCTCTAGATATATAAGTATCAATTACAATTAAAAAAATTTGATTGGGAGTTACAAAGATTTAGTTAAAACAGAAAAGGGCGTAAGGGTCTCATGGAATTTAATGGAGATTAATTAGCAGTTTAAAAAGCAATTAAAAATTATCTGTTTTCGACACCTGACTGAAAAGAATTGACCTGCGTCGATAAAGCAGTTGTCCTTTTTTTATGTGAGATAAAAAAGAATGTGCAACTCTTCCTCGATTAAAAAGTCGTCTTGACTCTAATCTCAATTCCTTTATATTTTAATGAATGTTTTGCTATATTGTCCTATGAAGAATTCGCGCTTTCGCTTTGATCTGAATGAATATAAAGAGAGACCATTACCGATGAGTCAAAGTATATCGAGAAATCGTTCGACTTTTCACTTCCTTTAACAGTCGCGTTTTCAAATAGAAGCAAAGTTATACTTCGTGTTGTCGTAATATCCAATATTAACGCCAACAGGCACATCACGAAAGTAATTGGATCACGCGTGCCATTTTCTCCGTGTTTTAACCGACTTTCAATGGAATATCGATCATGCGTTATCGACCTTCCTATAATGATCCACTTCTTTGCATGAATGTCATGGAGAAAGCGACGTGATGTGCTGCACAATTTTCCAATAGTTTTTATCGTACAATTTTGTACTTAATTATCCACATATTAACTGCACATATTTGTCTCATTGTGATGACGGTGTTTAAATCAGTCAATATAAGCCTTTTAACATTAGTCATACTTTTTGCAGACTTCGTCTTTTTTTCGTTCTCTCCTTTATCTATAATATTTTTTAAATCCATTTTATTTTTGTTGTAAAAGTTTAATAAAACATTTTTTAGATAAGCAGAAAATTCTTTTCTTTAAAACTTCGAAATTTATTAGTAATATGAAATTATTTCTTTTTTGACGTTACGGAATTCTTATTTCATTCTTATAATCACACAAAATTATATGTGCGAAAATATATTTATAGAGTATGCGAGAGATACTACTTCATCGAATAAAAATTTTAAACGAACAGACATAAGCAACGTATAACATCATATCTTTAAAGAAATCCATATGCATCAATCTTATCTTTAGAGAAGATAATTATATGCCTTATGTCAGTCAATAGTTCACTTCTTTAAATACATAGAAAAATAAAATTTGCTAAAATTTTGCAACATATTTGTAAAAACGCATTTCTCAGTTTTTCTAACAAAAAACATTTAATTTTTTATAAAAATGTGTAAAATAACATATTATTTTAATAAAATAACTTAGAATATACATTTCTGAGGATATTGTAATAATATAATAGTTTAAAAAAAACCTTTTACAAATTTAATATTGACTAATATATAGTAATTAATTACTTGTTTGAATATTAAAAGTCTATTAGTGGTTTTAATACTCAAAATAAGCAATTAATTATTTTTACCTATCAGAATTATATTTCTATAAGAAGAAAAATCCTCATTATATATTTCTAGTATTTCTACAAATATTTAATCTGTAATCGGTTAATATTTAATTTTATAAATCAAATTTAAAAATGAATTAATTACTTTGAGTATATTTTATAGTGTCTCAGTTGTATGCATATGTAGATATCTTAAAATCCTTGAACATACCTATATCTGCCAGATATCCTTGAGATTTGTTATACGGATATTTCGTAGACTATTCTTTCGACATTGCTTGTTTCGCATTATCTTTCTATCGGAATAATTGAGCCAGTACATAATTAATTATTTATTATAGGCACCCCTTTTTATTAACGCAGTTTGTGAATCTATTAGTAACTTTTATTTCACGCTTATTATATATTATACACCTCAAATTAACGTTTCACATATCCGATTGCATGTTAAAAAAAAGTTCAAGGCTGGCGCCAGGATATAAACAGATGATTTTATTTTGTCATTTTACATCGCTAATTACGAAACACAATATTCATATTTATGATTTAAGATATAAATATTATTCTAAGTTGTATTCCTTGCTTAATATTATCGTTATTTTTAATCTAATAAAAATTCAATATTTAAAAACCAATATTTTTAATTTTAAATATTTTTTAAAGTGTTATCTGTTGTATATTATCAAATAATATTTAATATGAATTAATATATGTACATGCATATAGTTATAGTATATCATATTTGTAGTCATTCACTGCGCGTTGAAATTTTTTTAGACTTACAAATGCAGTTAAACTACTGAAATAATATCACAATTAAATTTTTTGATGCTCAATAGGCGTCTATTATAGAAATCTTAATACGATAAAAATCTGCAAATAAATTTATTTATTGCGCAAAATATTAGCTCTTCTGAGAGTTAAACCGGATCTTTTGCATTCCATGCGAAGGTCCTAAGTCTTTAGACTACTGAGGCACAGAATTGCTTCATTTTTTTCGTTTTTCTTTAAATATAGCATTATTTATAATTTTTCCTTAAGAACATAATAATTTCGTAATCATGTGAAACGTGTAAAAAATATGATAAACTAAAACATCTATTCGATATACATAGCACAATACAAAAATGTAGGATACTTCCTGAAATAATTTCTTATACATTAAAATTATAATACATACCTATATATCCTTTTCTTATCTATGTAATTAACATAATTGCAAAAAATATAATCATGATTAAAAATTTTACAAAAATTTTATTACAATTAAATAAATTTATTTAAAAATATTTTTTAATTTTAATTTAATATAGCTCTCAATAATAATCAGTTTCATTGTTAACAACAAATGTAATAAACTTAAGTAAATAACTTGAATCAAATAAGAGACAGAGAGGGATTGAAAAGGATTCATTTATATAAAAAAGAGTTTTTTTTGCCCTTCCTCCATATCATATTATTTTACTCCATATAAACTTGTTGAAAGATTCTTTCTCTTTAATTCGTGCCTGCAGACTTCTTTTCTTTACTCTCCGACTACAACGAAACGATGCATACCATTATGAAATTCCATTTGGGATGGAATCCAATAATACATTTATCTCGTAAAAAATGATTCAAGGCTATG